TGCAGATCAGCTAACGCTGTAAGTCAATTACCCGTTGTTGGTGGTGCGCTTAGTGCAGTCGGTCTATACTCATTCTCCAATATCACATGCCCAACAAATGTACTGCACAGTTTGGCTATTTGTCGATTTTACGGATGCCATAATTGTGTGTTGCAAGCAACGAATTCTGGGGAGCGCAGTCACAAGCATGGAGAATGCTGGATTTCCATCTTAGAAAAACGCAATGCGTCAACACACCCCGACCCATTGAATGTGATTCGAATGATCTGCGCTCCGACGAAAAACCACTCTAAGTGTAAAACGCCACTCCGTGTGTCTCTTAATATTATCTTTTAGTTGTCTGCGCAATTGTTGGCAAACGCCAAAGGTGCCTTCGACTTTTTCTATCACACTGTTAATCGGTAAAATGTGGCAAACTGTATTTCAAGGAAGAATGAACGAACATCGGCCAGTTGAACAAAGTACCTGGTTTCTGGTTAACTATAAACAAACGATTTACTCAGAAACGAAGGAGGAAATACGGCTGGTTCATGAAACCACTTCGGCTGTGATTCAATATCATCGGTACGCACGAGATACTCTCGTAACCAGCATCAATTTAGTCCAATTTTCAACTAAGAACGAGTCTGGTTGATTCCATGATCAACAAACCTTTTAACTTCATTCTTCAGTATGTCAAACGAAGCTTGGAACCGGTGGAGAATCATAAGGTCGGAAGTCCTTAATGCGAATTTGTTTGTATGTTGTATAGGGTAGCTAGGTTTTTCACTTGACCCAAGAGCTTCGTCCTCACTCACTGCATCGTAACGCCACTGATAATTCTCGCAGCACTTCTGTCGGCCTCAACTAACAACCGGTCGGTTTATTTCGGTAAAGGCGAATAATTTTATCTGTGCCCAGCAGGTTCCATTGTGTAGGTGATGAAACGGGGGATCAGTCGGTTGGTCCGGGCTGCATCTTGCGTCCCGACAACTGGACACGCACATGGTTGGCGGCATCCGCTTGTGGATGAGCCGGGCTATACCATAGTCAACTGTCAAGCACGCAGCTCCGCAGCTGTCCTCCATGGCGAAGTGGCACTAGCTGCTGACATCCAGAAGTCATGGGGGCAGAACCAGGCAGGGGTTCGCTGGAAGGCGCACCACTGATAAGACCCAGAATGTCGAAACGCCTGCACCGGTGGTTTTCCAGACTAGCCTAAGCCCTCTGATTGAGAGTGGCAATGTTGAATTAGCTGAATGATTGTGGAGTTGCCTGTCACTTCAACTATGCGCACAACGTGAGAGCTGCGAGGCAGAGCCGAACAACTCCGGTTCGTCTCGTTCACAGCCAAGGGGGGAACGTAACACATGACTAGGATCATGGAAAGCGTTCCACGGAACTTGGCAAACAGTGGCCCTACGCCCCTTGCCAGCTCAATCGCACAGCTTCTGCTCGATTACACCTTGTGCAAAAACTCATGTGACGCTTTCAAGGTTAACAGCAGACAGAACAACGCAAGCTTGCTTCGTTTCGCCGAAGCCTCCACCATCTGGTGAAGGAAACCTAACCTTTGCAGACAGCTTGACCTTGTGGCCATGCTTGCCTTGCCCTGCTAAGACGTAGGCGATGACCTTGATTTGCTCAGTGTTTTATTGATCTCCTTATTGACACCCCTTTGCAACTGCACTCGTTTACTCTTTCCACCATGTGTCTGTAAGCAGCCGAATGAAAGACACGAAATAAGCCGAATTCAGGTTATCCAGCGAAAATATCGTTACTTTTTGCTCTCTTAAGATTTCTGAAGGGAAAAGACTGCATCCAATCGTCCGCACCTGATCTCTGTCCAGGCGAGTCCACCATAGCCGAGCAGATGATGAGGAACCGCCAGCTAATTGAATGGCGATGGGCCAATAGGAGAACGCTGTTGGCCGTTAGCGGTAGGCAAGATGAGTGCAACATGTGAAGGTCAGTCCAAATATCAGATTAAGCTGGTTTCATCGGCGGGCACGCATGTGTGGACCAAAGTGGTCAACACTGTTTCTGGCGCAGGAAAAATGATAGTAAGACATAAGGAGCGGATTTGTGTTCGTCGTACTCGTGTGGGAGACAAAGGAAGTAAGCTTTATGAGTCTCTGGTACTTTCCGGCGGTCTGGCTACAGGGTGACCACTGTCCGTTCAGAAGATGCTCGAGTCTAGTGTTTGTACGACGCTCTTCTACCCCATCGGTGTTACGTTTGTAGCGGAAATGTTTACTGGATGAATTGCAGATTGACGAATGCCGGTTTGCCTCTGTGAAGGGGTTTCCTATTACTCAGTTTTGATGTTATTTTTAAATAGCTGTATAAAGTATAGTACTTGGACGAGGAGCTCTAACACTTGACCAATACGGATGAAAAAGCCCAGGCTTGACAAGTCCCGAGGGATGGGTTGTGGGAATCACGTTAGTTCAGTGAAGTTACACAAAAGAGAAAAACGCATCTGTGGACTCTCCATATTATCCACGTTAACACGTAGGTGTATCCGTCTACCCCGATTTCGTGGGGTTGGTGAGCATAATGTTTGTCTGTGTCTTGTCGTCACCCAATGAACAGAAATCAGATTAACTAAAGTAAATGATGTAAAGCATCACTGGGTTGTTTTTTTTTAAATGGGTAGCGTGGGCGAGGAAATGACAAAAGTCGAAACAGCGTTCCACAGCTGACAAACTCGAAGGGAAAAGTAATTCCGGCGGCACTCTGGCCGATTGTATTGGGTGGCAAGTTTCAATTTTTGACCCCTCAATTCAATGTTGCAGCTAAGCTTCAGGAGATAGTGGCAAGTGTGACCGGGGTTTTTCAAAATCTTCAGCACAGGCACTCTCGTTGTTACATGGAACCCGCGACTCCTTTCACTCATTAACGGTAAGAAAGAAAAGAAAAGAAAGGCATCAGCGGTACACCGGTACGATGTATCGATGCCTCAGTGCAGTGCAACCACCACCGATCGCACGTGGGCTAAGGATATTGTGGAGGGTCGCCCTTACCCTACGCAGGATCGAACTTGCGCCGTCAGATTACAAGACAAGCTCGGTGCATTTGGGCTACGGGCCGCTAAAAGTAACACGAATCAGCGGGGATAGGATTAAGGGCCCTTCTCATGGAAGAACGACACGGTTTTACACGAAGTGTGAAAACTAACCAGAACACTGAAAGTGTAGACCGAACAAAGAATGAACCAATCGGATACACACAAAGGTAGGAAACTAATAGTGTTGGTGTTGGTGTTAGTGTACTGTGAATCGCACTGAGAACAAATGACCGTAAACAACAAATGAAGTATGCTAATGATCTTCCCATAATCTGTGACTCCTTGTAGACTGTCCAGGACTTGCTACACAGGTTACATATGTCTGTAGTTCAGTTCGGAATGACCTAGGCCAACTCCATGCACAAAATTTACCTCTTGGACTGGTTCGAATCTGCTAATACCCTCAACAGCTCTGGCTTTTCTTTGGAAGTAGTCAACAAGGCCATTTAAGTTGCGATTGCATTAGGGTGAGATGATTAAGGGATACGATCAATTTGCGTAACTCCAAAGTCAGAGTAGCGTTTGCTAACTTCTGACATATCTGACGAACGTGTAATCTCAGCATCTCATTAAACATTCAACTCTACAGTGCTACAGTACGAACACTGCTCGTTAATGGATGCGAGACCTGGTCCGTTAGAACAAGCGAAATCCAAAGACTGCCTGTGTTGGATCAACATCGCCCCCCAAAAAGCGCTAGTGTGCATTGTCGTGTAACGTCGTCCGAGAATCAAAAACAGACTGGACTGCGCTCAGAAACCATTTGGGTCAGAAGGCAACGTATTATTTTTCGGGTGACCAGCGTTCAGTTCTGCGACTCTGATTTACTCTTCTTTCATTGGCTGCGTCTGACAGAAACACGCCATATTCATCGATTGAGCCAGTTGGTTACGTGAGTTTACCAAGGGACCCACGCTCAAGAGTGCAGGCTTTGCTGCTGGACTAACGGCGTACAATCGATCGCGCGGCCTCATACCTGTTCGTTCCGAGTGCGCAAGCGAATATCAACAGTTGCCATTACAATGCTCACGCCACATACGTAGGCGGCATCGCATTACTAATGACGACGTTTGACGCTGGATATTCACGTCAGACCGATTCAGCCGACTATTGCGTTGCATAATACCCGTGTCTACGTTTCGTTGGCTCGGGCACGTTCTCCGTATGCCTGATCAACGATTGCTCCGCCGCGTTTTGTTCGCATGCACCGGCTTTAACTGGTAGGAGGAGAAGGTGATTGGCACACACTCAGAGCCCGGGGGATTAAGTGGCTGATATTGCAGTTGACCGGAGTGGGGCGTTCCGCACTCAGATTAGGAACCCGAGGACAGTGAACATATCTGATTGAAAACTCTATGGGATAGAGCTCGGAATTGTATCAAGTGGCGGACATGTTGTGGGACTCTCCTCCCCTAACTGCCTTTTCTCCACCTTTTGTTGCTGTCCCAAATGTGTTGTGGCGTTCTGCCAATTGTATGTGGGTTACGTGTTGAACAGATGTAATAATGTTTATAATGGGTCCAGCAAAAGCACTCGTTAGGACAATTGTTAATGAAGGCGCATAAGCTAATGAAAGTTCGCCATTACGAACGTTTACCTAAGCATAAGTTAGTTGTTATTAGGCCTCTACCACTAGTCAGCCAATGAAATGGAATTTAATCTGAACTGCAGTAGTAGTATGTGCAAGTCGGTCTGCCATGCAGGCAGTTCATAACATCCAATTTTTGCCGCTATGCATAGTTGTGTTCTATCCAGTACAGTTCAAACCACAAGTTTGGTCATCATTCAGCCGCAGTCTTCAGAGGGTTCAGCCAATCAGTTTGCGTTATGGTTAGCGATATTACTGCGCCATGTATCGATCGAATGACATGGGTAAATGAATCAGCAGGTAGGGCTAAAGGATAAGATCGATCCACAAATGTCATCCTCTAACACAAACGCACAGACTCACCATGGATTATGAAAGAGTGGTGTACCTCATCGTATAATCCCGTTGGCTGCAGGATTCGGCAACGTATTATATACTGTCCACCTGGAAAACGATCATCGAACAAAATACTGCCGATATACACTAGGTCGGCCTTCACTGAAATGGGGAAGAGCGTTAATTCCATCAGCAACAGGCTTCCAAAAGTCTTATTGTTCGTATTCTTGCAGTAGACGCGTTCGTCCCGCTCGTAGACCGGTTTCATAGGACGGACTTCCAAACCGACCTGCCCTGCAGAAAAGAGACAGTCGTCCGAGTCACTGCTGGGACAACCGTTGAGCTGGTAAGCAATCACAACAAAAGCAGCAGTACATCAGCCATTTGAACTGATGCTTCGCTGCCATATAACCATGAGGACCTATGAAATAAAGAATAATAAAAGCGGAAGGAGGACTTGCCTGAAAAGCTTAAGGCCCTAAACAAACATTCAGGATCAATGCGCTTACCTCTTGTGTTAACACCATACCGTCACAAACAGCTGGCTATCGTGCAAAGATATGGCGGTATCGGTGAGACAGCTTCCTTGCTGCTTCCACTGACCGCGTCATAATCAGCCATTACCCCGCAGATAACTCAGCACGAAACACACGGTAAACAGGCAATTCGATTAGGAGACGGAAGCAGACGCGCCACTGGTGTCGGTTGCGAGCCGTGTCTTGTAAAGTCTCGAGCCAAGCACAAGGCAAATTACGTGAACTTCAGCCCGGAAGGTGAGGCGGATTAACGGAACCCAGTTTGATCGTCAATGACTACATTTCACGCTGCCAAGTCAACTTCTGTCCACCTCGAGCCTTGCGCCATCCTATACCTGGCAGACTAAACAAGGCCCTCCAGGTCTAGGTAGCACGTGCCCGAGCCAACGCAACTTATTCAGTGCTATCTGTTGTTCTAGGGAGCTAGCATGCTTATCATTACCTAGTACTTGCCTACGCACGACAATAATGTGTACACGCGACCAAACTCAGGGTCCCTTTGGTTACACGTCCACACATATGGGCCACGCACATCACCCGACAGATAGTGGCACGTGATAATCGATCACAACAACAACAACAATTCGCACGAGACCACTGACGCATGGGTGCATTCATTTTCGATCGATACTCCGGGATCTGTGGAGTGAAACAGTTAACTTCTCAAAACTTGTAGTTGCATTGCCATTTACCGAGCCAAAGGGACACACAAGCTAAGCTTAAATTCTACTGAACCCTATTGGACAGAGGACGGTGCTGGGCATACAAATGTGCACATTGTTAAGCACCATTTCGGAGCCATATTCGTAGACACCGCAATCACACGATTTGTCTTACCCCACTGTGCATGTTGATGTCGCTGCGGGTTTTCCGATCTAACCATGACTGTGTGAACTATCTAATCACTCTTGGTGCAATGTTTTGTGGCCACTGTCATTTCGAGGGGGAAGCTAAAGGGCAATTACGGTTGGGATAGTTTAACAGAAATCTAGCTGTTACCGTCGCACATAATAATTCAATTACGCGCATACTAATTACTGAACACAGAGAATAGAAAGCGAGAAGATAAAAAGTTGTGTTCCTCCACTGCATCGGATCGGGCACATGCGCGGTGGCAGCATATAGCATAGGCACTGTCTTTTATCAATTGAAGGAGAACGTTCAAAAGCACTTGACTAGTGAACGAGATCTGGGTATCATTGTGTGAAAAGATCTGGTCAATGCGCTCTAATGTTCGAGAGCAGCAAATATGACAAGTTTTAATTTGTGACTTCTCAGTCGACCGCTCGGTACATTTGAGCGACAAATAGTACCCATGTTGACCAACTCATCCCCACGTTGATTATGCGATTCAAGCATGAGATCCATAGTTAAGACGCGCCATTTGTCTCGCGTAGCAGCCCCAAAGAAGCGCAACCGAAGCAACACTTGGAAAAATGCGGTCTCAATTACGCCATCTTTGTTTACTCGACGAGTTCTCCTTCCTTTTTACAAGTGCTGCCTAGGATATTGTATCGCCATCGGCTGTTCATAGCCAGAACGGAAACAGAACAAACACGGGAGCCATGAATAAAAGCGACCTAATCTCTTGGGTCTCGAGTGACTCGTAAAAACTTCCGGGCCCATCGAGAAAAGGAGACCGAAACGTTAACTACGGTACCACAACATAAAATAAAACTCGAATGCATATTTACATATCTCAACAGTGCCCGTTCATTCTTGAACCAACCGGGTCTTCGTACAGTTAAACAATGAAATGGCATCAGCGCACCTGCTAAAGTGCCGTAAGACCACACAGCACGGATTAAAAGAGAGGAAGACGAGGGTTCTTTTTAAATTGTCCAAACTCATTTCCCCGTTTTTCTGCGGAACGGCGCACAAGAAGATACAAGGTGTCATTACGTTCAAATGGAATGAGATTAATGCGTCTCGCTGCGGATATGGGATCAAAGACCAACAAGGGCCTGGGTGCCCTTGGGGTTAGTAGACGGGGTGGAAGTGCACAATCGTTACAGTGGGTAGGGGATGAGGGCAAATCCATGCCCAATGGTGGGACACCTGGGTATGTTACACAGTATGAGCGCGATCGTATCTACAGCAAGGTTGGAATGAAACCACGTAGACATGGTTAGGATAATAATGCATAGCACAATAGCCCGTAGGAGCAGGTGTCAGATAAGGTTATCGGGAACAAGTCTCGTTACCATGGTATGAGTTGCAATGAAACATGGAGTCTTACATAGTTAACCACCGGGAATAGACAAATAATGGGTTATCTGGGATCTCAGCGGAAGGTGCAGATGGTGTGGTTATCTGACTATGATCTTGACATGCAGGCTGCGATTTTGGTAGTAAGTGTTTAGCCTACAATGACCGAGGTGTATGTATGAGAGCACTGCTTCCCCATGTATGGTACAATAGTGGGAGAAGCAAAGCTGCTAAAGCACATCTGGGTCAACCAACAACGCAGAAGATGCTGAAGCAGGTATGCGAATGCGAAGCGATAAAACTGAGAGCCACTTGCGTGTTTCAGCGGAAACGATATTAGCTTACCTGGGACCCTGGGAAAACACTCAAGGCAAACGAGCTATGATGGACAAAGGAAAAAGGCATATGTGCAATAGATTTCCTCCTGACATAGTGAAGCAGGAACAACACGGCAATGAAGCCCAATCATTACTGATGCCATTACAAACTAAACCATCACTCACGTAGGCGCATACTAATGAAGCATGTTTCCTTCGCATGACGCACTATCTCTCTTGGCTTCCGCTCCCCACAAGTTCATGCACTTTGGGGACCTTGTGATGGAACATCTCCTGCTCATTTCACCCCATAATTTCCGTTTCTACGTCTTTCAATCTGATCGGCCCGGAGTCGTTTGATATCCCGTGCTATGCTTGACCCTGGATGCAAAAATTTGTTTGGGGTCGGTCCGACAGACCACAATGACGCCGATTTATCTGCTTTGTTGAGTTCTTGACGAATACCCTCTCTGTTCTGCCTGGCTCAGACTCACTAGAACACCTCGGTCTTGAGCCGTTCTCGCCTGGTTCCATCAGACCAGCGTACGCCGTCTGCCCTCCCTCATTGCGGCTTTTCCTGCTTCTGCCCGCCTCGTTTTCGCGGTCTTCCGGTCCTCCGGGTAATCACTGCGTTGCGCCTTCCTACAAAAGGCCACAACTTGAAACATGTAGCTCGAACTTTCCGATTGGACTGTAGAAAGTTCCCTTGTTCTCTTGGAATTTGCTCACACGAATGCAATGCTAGCACATATCGTAAATGCCCAATGCACATCGACATCCGAAAAGGCATTAGACACTCTTCTAAGTGATACACGCTACACGATGGCATGACAAGGGCTATATCTGGACTAAGGAAAGTTACCACTTCACGGCGAAACATGCTGATATTCCGTTTGTATTTGCTATTCTGTGCGTCTTGTAAAGTTATTGATTTTGATGCCATTGCACGGTTGGCGGCATCGGGTTTTGGATTTGTCTGTCACTGTGGCAAATCACAGGAGGCCTGCGCCTACAGAGGGACCATGGATGGCTTGCGCTGCACCACCCACAGCTCCAACCACACACCCCATATCCAGTGTAAGCCAGAAGAAATAAGACTGGGAGGCATGCGGTTGGGAGCCACGTTTCTTCAATGGAGCCGGCTCACACTCCTTCAAAGGCAAACACAAACAGAGTGTATTTGGGGAATCAACCGCACACAAGACGCTGGATGGACCGTAGTCCACTCCACACTGAGTGCATGGGACCACTATTCGAGCCTAGTATGACCAAAAAGACCGTGCACCCCGTCCCCTGCAGCAACGACCAGCTGTCTCCTGGAGCCAGTATGGACGAGGTAGTGGTTACTAGACAGGTAGGCACATTGTCAACGTACACACCAAGCGCAACCACACTGGGGATATCCAGCAACAGCCAATCACTTCAAACGACAAGATGAAATAAAATAAATCGGATAATGCATACAGATACGTCGCCATAAATGTTCATTAAAAGGGCGTATAAAATAAATTGGTTACGAACTAAGCACCGATAAAGTTGAAGAGGTCAGAAAGTATAGTTTAAGAAAGCGCCACAAACGTGAAATTGTTATCGAAGTTAACTACAAATGGCTTCGGTGCCGTTCGCAAGTTTATAGAAGATAGTACAGGTAGAGCTAAATATGAAAAAAAGCATTAGGACAAACTTGAAAAACCACCACCTGAAATAAAGAGACTTAGCATGAAAGAACGCGGTTAGTAAATCGAATTCAGCGTGCCTACAAACGCTGCGCTGGTTCTGCCTACTTTCTCTGCTGGACCCGTCGTCGCTTCGGTAGTGGTCCCGAATTGCATCGCTCATGGCTCACTAGACCTGCCTGACTAAGGCACTCGCGACCGCATGTGCTACAGCACCATGCGCTCGATGTCGATGTAGTACAACCCATCAGCACCTGTCACTTCCGCATTTGCCGCTTCTTCTCTACATGTATGAGGTCATTCACCCGCACCTCGGCGAATGACTTCATGATCAGATCGCGCCATGTGTGCAGATTAACCGCCTTCGATTCCCATGACCTGCAATCAGGATTAGAACGTGCGTGACTCACTTTGATCTGGTCCTGATAACGAACCATCGGTTTCCCTACATGCCGCTTCCCAATACTTAGTTGACCATATAATAGTTGTCTCGGTATCCGCTTCGGCACACATGACAGAGCCACCTCGGGTGTCTCAGCAAAAGTATACAGTCCACT